AGAAATAGGGAGATAAGATGAGAAAGAGGTTAAAAACCTCTCTAGGAGAACAGCTCCATAGGAAACCGAGACAGCCTAGTCCATAATGAGCTTATGGTAAGGCTCAGAAGGAAATGTCTCCAAGAAAATGAAATCAACTGTAAATACACTACAAATCACTGAACCGTACATACACGTTAAAGGATGTATTTTATGGTACATAAGTTATATCTCAAAAAAGATGGGTTGGGGGGCCGGGGAAATAGTTCACTAGAATAAGCGCTTGCCTGGCAAGTGCAAGGGCCTGAGTTCAATCCCCAGTTCCGACAAAAAAAAAAGATGGGTTTTTTGGAGGGGTTTTGAGTCAGGCCTTGCTATGTGTTTAGGATGGCCTTCAACTCACTACGCAACCCAGGCTGATCTCAAACTTGCGATGATCCTCCTGCCTCAGCCTCCTGAGTGCTGAGGCTACAGACGGCCACCACCGCACTATTTCCAGAAGTGCATTTCCTCAGTCATACTTCGTTCTCTTAAGTACCTTTCCCGCATAGCGGATACTAGAAGAATCCAGCGCATCATCCAATGGTCTCCAGTCCACTATTACATCAGCATCCTAAAAACAGATTATATTTAGTATTCAGCAATAAGGTACATTTTAATCCACTTGTTTTTACTTCTGCAACCCAAAATTAAATTCTAACCCCTTAAACACTAGCACTTTATGTTAAATCACACATTAACCATTGTTTGACAAAAAATGTGCTATAGATTTAATTCTGCTTACGTTTTTCACTATGAAAAATTTGTATTACTACAACTTGTACAAAGTAATTTAAAATATCCTTTGTCATTTTACTAGCTTACTTAAAATGCTATTTCCAGGGGCTTTGCAGGATAGCTCAGTTGTTTAAAGCGCCGCTCCACAGTTCAATTCCCAGCTCCAGAAGCTGTACTAGACCTGCCCTTAAGGCAGCCTGAAATAGCCCAAAAAAAAAGCTCCTTCCGGGCTGGGGAGATAGCTCAGTAGAATAAGCACTTGCCTGGCAAGTACAAGGGCCTGAGTTCAATCCCTGGTTCGCAAAAAAAAAAAGCCAAATAACAACAACAAAAAAAAATGTTATTTCCATGTTATATTTACAACTATTATTCAAGTATATATTTCTATCTTACAAATA